CAGATGATAGGAGCCTGCCGCTGCCAGCAAATTTTGCTTTCAAAACTTTGAGGTGCAATTTCTGAGAAACTGCCACTGGGATGAGCTCTGCCTCCCAACACCAGGATGAGCGCCATGGGGCTGCAGAGCCACTCAGAGCTCAGCCTGGTGGCAGGAGAGGTAGCGCAGCCCTAGCTCTGCCTGCCTCCCACCATCAGGTTGAGCTCCATGGGACTGGTGGAGCCAATCGGAGCAAAGCCCAGAGGCGGGAGACAGGCAGAGCCAGGGCTGTGCTCCACCTTCTGCTGCTGGGCTGAACTCCATGGGGCTGTGGAGCTGCTCGGAGCTCAGCCTGGTGGCAGGTGGCAGAGTGCAGCCCCACCTCTGCCCGCCTCCCACCACCAGGCTGAGCTCCATGGGCTGCAGAGGAGCTCCTCCTCTGCCGGGCTCGGCTCCATCTACCAGGCAACAGCGGCAGCCTCCTGTCATCCAATGCAGATCCAGGGACCCACACCCCTCGGAAGAGTCCAGCACAACCCTGCAGCCCTCCTAGGGGTGCGGGCCTCTGGATCTGCACCTGGATGACAGGAGGCTGCTTCTGCTGCCCAGGGTCAGCGGCAGCACCTGTCTTCCCTGGCACTGGGTGTGGGCTGCACCCAGCAATGGTCCCAGGCAGCAGCCTCCTGTCATCTGGTATAGATCCAGGGGCCTGCATCCCCAGGAGGAGTCCAGTACAGTCCCACAGCCTTCCCAGGGGTGCAAGCCCCTGGCTCTGCATGCCAGATGACAGGAGGCTGCCACAGCCAGCAAATTTTGCTTTCAAAACTTTTAGGTGCAGTTTCTGAGAAACCTCTGCACCTATCTCCTTGAAACTTGGCAGGATTCATGCTCTCAGAAGGGGCTACCATCCCTGCAATTTGCATCTGAGTCAGGGAAGAAATGACAATGTTTAAAGTATTTTCATGATTCCCCATTATAGCCTATGGGTGAAACGTCAAAACGAGTTGAAACAGCAAAACAGTTTTGACGAAACGAAACGGGACAGTACTTCGAAACAAAAAGAAATGACAAAACAAAACGCTGTCCCTTTGAAACGGCGAAACAGACATCGAAACAAAATGTTGGTGTTTCTCACAGCCCTAAAGTAATGTGCTTTGCACTAAAAACTATAGTCAAAAGCTGTATTACCTCAGTGGTCTCATGGTGTGACTGCAGCTCTGTGTACCCCTGGAAACTTCCCAAACACTTATCTTCACTGAGGGAGTTGGAACTTTAGCCTGTGAAGTATCTGGGTTCTATCCTATTCCCCACTCTGCCTCTCCTATCTGCAGATCACGTGCCCCAGAGGCTCTTCCTGGCAGCAACAAGAGCTACTGCAGTGCCCTAGTGACTGCAGTAGGTGCCTGCTGTCCACAATGGGTGGTACAGCATTCTACAGCACATCACCTATGCAACACCTTGTGCCCGACAGCTGTGCCATTAGTGGTAGACATAGCCTTAATTGGGCAACCAAACTTAAAGGGATTTCTCAGTTTGTCTCAGTATATAAGTATAAAGTCAGTATATACTTTAACTTTCAAATATTGAACTTCCAGAACTTTGGCAATTCTCCAGACCATCACTAGGTTGAATGTGAATGATTTTGATGAAAACTAGACAAGCCATTTGAATTTACTGTATTTTCTCAGATACAGCATACCTTTTCCTCAAAATCAGCCCCCCAAAACTGAATTGTGTGTTAAGCAAGGAAGCTGATTTTCTTTTGCCCAAGATAGAAGCACCCTGCTTTGATCCCTGCTCTTCAGTGCAGCAGCTCTGACATTACTTTTCAAGCAGTTGAAGGGTGATCCATTGTTCTTCACTTCACCAATAATAAAGATCATCTCTCCTTTTTAATGGTCTTGATGTTCCACTATAGAAGCTAACTTTTCTTAGAGGAAGTTTGCTGTCTGCTAGGGCTTTTGGTTTCTTCTCCTATTTCACAGCTCTTTAGCTCTTTTCAAGATCTGAGGTCCAGCCATGGAGACCAGTCTTCAGCAGAAGCTAGGATTTTAGTTAAGCAGAGTCACCTGAAGATTAAGCTCTGTCTCTGCAACCATAACTCTGGAAAAAATTCTTCAGGAAAATTCTTCTTTCAAGAACAGAGAGAGAAAGAGAGGGCAGCAGCTGTGCCCTGCTTCCTTATTCCTGGAAGGAGTAGTGGGGAAAGGGGTAAAGAGGTGAAAGAGAGAGACACACACAAGGAATCTCTGGAATAGAGGGGAATGGGAGGGAGGGTAATAAGTGTTTGTGAGATTACAGAGGGATGCAAAGAGGTTCTAATATATACAATGAAAAATGTGTCCTTCTAGTGTAGTGATTCCTAGCCAGGATGCTGTGGCACTCTAGGGTGCCTTGAGATCCTTCCAAGGGTACCACCAGATGCCACATGATGCTAACATGATTCACAAAACAACCCCCAAGTTATCAAACAGGAAGCCATAGTGTTAAAAACATTCTGACTAGTTGTAGTCTTTCTGAGTCCTTTGCAATGAAGAAGTGTTCTATTGGGGCTTTTTTGTAGTAAAAAAAAGATTGAAAACTAAGAGCTGACATTTTCTGAGGGGTGCCTTGGGTCTATCAAGGGGTGCCTCAAGTTTAAAAATGTTAAGAACCACTGTTCTAATGCAAGTAATTATGTACAGGCATGTATTATTAATGTATAATCAGTATCAGGTGACTCTACAGCTTTGCTTTTTGATTGGA